GAATCAACACAAACATCCATTATAATTAGATATCAAACTTTGTGGAGAGAACTTAACGTTCTTCGAAGAATTAATTCGTGTACAAAGAACAGCATTGATCTCGACGAGAATTAAAATATCAAATTATAAAGTAACAAGGGTCTCTCTCTCTCTCTCTCGTGTATTACTATATCGTACAGTATAAAATTACTATATCGGATAGTACAAAATTTTTTGTAACTTTTTTTTTACATAAGAGGTACAATATGCGAGTGTGTTATGTGTACATACGTGTATTTTATCTGGCAAAACATCTTTTGCTTATGCAAGAGATATGAGTCAAAATGATAAAAACGAAATTAAGAATTTTGTTTTCAATTTCGAACTGTATAATAATTACTTAACCAAATGAATGTATAGGTTGACCTGTTAGAACATCGAAATAGAAAACATCGAATTTTGAAAACATTCGTTTCTTCCTTAGAGTGAATATTTAAACGGCTGTGCAACAGTAAAATGTAGAAAATTCTGCTAAATCAAGAGTTTCGATGAAGTTCATGTAATATTTTGTTTTCGTTTTATTTCTCTCGCGTCATGGAAAAAATAAAATAAAAAGGAATAGTATAAATCTTAATTTTTTAAAAATACGAGTAATGTAATATTTTCTAATTATGTTCATTTTATGTCATTAGAGCTACTCGTTATGTGCATATCAATAAAGAACGGCGCAGTTGTAGACATTTGTACATGCAAATTAATTCGTTACGACTACGCAATAGTATCCTTTTTTTATATTAAAAATGATATCTTTCGCGACAAACATTATTGCATCCATTAAAATAGTTAATCATTCTCGCTTCGGTAATCAACGACTACCTCGTGCACGCATATCAAAATGACATTAAAAAAGTTAAAGTACGAAATAGTCGAGCTTATTTTCACCTTTGAAGCAATAACTGCGATCAATCTTGCATGTCAAGACGAGAATTGAGCACAGGTTGATTTTCATGTGTCATATTCAAGCCTGTTGATTGGTTGTAGGACAGAGAGGTCTCAGATGTGTTTCTTTCTAGAGCCAATCAACACACTAAAGTTTATTTGTACGACACATGAAATATATCAGCCTGATTACGTGGTATGTCGTGCAGCATACGCGTAAATGAGGTAATAAGATCTTGGGGATCTTACCTTAAGTTTCTTCTTGTAATCGTTCAGCTGCTCCGAAGCGGGATCCCTCACTGGGCAGGCCATCTTGTCAGTCGATTTCTTGCCGCTACCGCAAAACCGTTTAATAGAAGATATGTAAAATGTGGAATTGAGTATGGTGGTTTACGACGATAGACAAGTCTCCCGGTATTTCGTGGCAACTGGATAGCGGCGACGATGACAAGCTTTTATCATGTCCAAGCCTGAAACGCGGGGGACCGAGGGGGACGAGAATGATGAATGGGTGGGAGCGCTGGCGCGTGCGATTCGCAGCAACTATCTCTAGCAGCAACTTCACATCGATGGAAGAGAAGCGGTATTATTCGAAAAAGAGCCGACCCGAATCCGAACACGTTTTTGACACATACTTTGGCTGTTTCAAAATTCACTGCCAGCGCTAAAAATCTACAGTTTACGTCACGTATACTATACATTTTCAGCACTGCCAGTGAATTTTAGAACACAGCCTTTATAGCTCGATCTCCGCACAATTCTATTTAATCATATTAAATTCTATTTAATCATATTAAATATATATATATATAGAATAATCATAGTTTAATTTTAAATATAACACTTTCATTTAAGGGCGATTTTGGCCAACTACTTAATCGATTAATTTAATCAAAGATTAAATTTTAACTTTTCAAATAATATATTTTAAATAATATATATTTTAATTCATAAATAATATATCTTTATTATTTTATTGACATGGAAAGAATTATTGTTTTGTTGTTTAATAGAAAGAAAAAAAGACTAAAGTCAGGAACAACAAATTATATAAATAAAAAATTTATTGTAAGCAATTCCAAAAGTTGAATTAATCGGTTTATTAACCGAATTTTGCGGCGAAAACACATCGAAATTTTTCCCAAGGGAAAAACGATCTAAAATGATAAATCTTATTAATCTTATTCGTGCCATCATTGTTGACATTTTATTTATTCTTCATATGTATAAAATTTGCATCTTGCTGAGTCCACTTTATACTATCTCAAATTCATATTATTACATTAATATGATAATTTATTTTATTTTCGAAAGAAAGTATCTATTTTCTTGTTTAAAAGACGAATGGACTTTGTACTTACATACTTGAAGAAGACAAGTATACAAAAGATAAATATTATGTTTTGTTAAATTCAAATTATTTTGCTGTTTGTTTTTTATTATAAACCTTTTCTAAATAATAAGGTAATTATTTATTGCAACATTATATCGCTGACGAATATTTTGTATGTTGCGAGTTGCATTATAGTGTAATACTCGGCGTATATTTTTAACGATAATTTTACAGGACGATGTTCTTTGAAATGTGTATATATTATATAATCGAATTTCATGGTGACAATTACGCTTATTGTTAGTAATGACAATTAAAAAGCTGCAAAATAAAGCCAAAGAAATATTGAAAATTAAGCAAACAGAGAAATTATATAAGCATTCTAATTACAGGTTAAATAACGTGCGAATAATTTGTACTTATAATACGTATGATGGATATAACACGATAATAAGATATATCTTAAAATATATAGTTATACCATGTACTTATCACTATTTGTTCAGAGTATTATTAAAAATTACCCGCAAGTAATTTTAAGCAAATTTAAGCGAGCAGCTTGACAGTTACTAGAATGCATTTTGTTCATTAAAAATAGAATTTCATGCCACTTGTGAAACTTCGCTAATCGCTCTGTGATTAAAAATAGTTCAAGGAAACATAACAAATCGATCAACGAACGCATGGAAAAGTCAATATATACACATGCATATAAATAAACTCCAATCACCTAAAATTAGTAAAAACATTTTAAGCGCATAAAATTAAGCATACAATTAAAAAAAAGAAATAAACATGATGTAATAACACTTCTTATAAATCTTATTACATCATAGAAATAAGTTAATATATCAATTATAATACAGCTAATGATAAGTTAATATATCAATTATAACACAGCTAAAGATATGAACTTTTTCTTTTCATTTTAAAAAAATTAGGACAGTATTTTCATGCATTAACTCCAGTGAAGCTACGGAGGGAGTTAGCAAGTGATTTAGTTCCGTAACTTTGTTTATTAATGCCGTTACAACGCCACCTGAGCCAGGTACAATTCCGAGCTCGACATTAAAAGCCGGCTCGCACGATAATGCGCAGCCCTCTTATCGCACGTGTCTAAAAATTGCCGTCTAAATCGCGCCGCTTCATTGGTGGGAATTTACAAAATTTTATCAGTTTAAATATCAATTGGCTCGGCCGAGAGCTAAAAAGAAAAAAGGAGCAAATATTCCTTTTTGAGGCATAATTCTCGTTGTAAATAATACAGATAACATGATCAGATCACCGTTCCACTTCTTTGGTAGCGTACTAAAGATGGAGCTAAATTTGAGAATAGAGGACAGGTCTTACGTACTTGTAAAATAATTCTACTCGCCCGCGAAAGAAATTAAATAACGGATCTATATAACGACACTATATAAACATCTTATTATTATTTACATCATTGGCGAGTTGCTCCTAATAATTGTGTAAACCGCTACGTTTCGCCGAGCACGATCTAACGATGCTTGATCAAGGGGACAGAAGAGAGGAATATATATTATATAATTTATATATATATAGCATTATTATTATTATTATCATTATGCTTGACACGATGTACGCGAATAAAATCGATTAGGTCTGGAAAATAATATACTCTCCGACGGAAAATTAATATTACATTACGCCTAAGAATTTGCCTGAGTTTGCACGCACCTTATTGCATACTCTGCGTACTGCATGTTAACGGCGACTGAGAAATATTCTCGCGACAGGTACATAACGCGAAGTACTTCGAACAAATGTTTTACTGTAGCAATGTGGCAACGGCAGCTTCGAAACTTATCCCGTCCCGCGTTATAATATCGTCGCATTATCACAATGGTTAGTTAAAATAACGATACCTTCCCGCCATTCATAATATGTGATATTCTAAAATGAACACTCGTCATGAGAAACTTTCCGACACATGTCACTCAACAATTTGATCCTATATACGCAGGCTTAAGTTAAGGAATGCGCGGCTTAACAAGAAGCGAGAGATGATTAGCATCGGAGTTAAAATAGATCTGTTCTTTGTAACTGAACTAGTGTACACTTGTTTTACTTAAAATGAAATAGACATATATTTAAGTTTGGCGAAAGCAAAAAAGTTTTAGTGAAGTCCAGTGTAACGACAAAGAACAGACCTAATGATTCCAGCTGCATCGACAAAATTCATAAATCCCCCCGAAAATTTTGCCCGCACATATGTAAGAAACGTCATACACGATGAATTTGCCTCCGCTATGGAAGAATATCGTGATAACTGATTCATGATGATTCAGAAATATTCATGATTTGATATAATATCGTCTTCGTTCTGCTAATATGAAAAAACGTGATAATTACTTTTGGGAATTATTAATGTACTCTGCTACGATCGTTATATTAGTTTATCTAAGGTAGCACACATTAGTTTGCAGCGACGAGGATCATTCGTTCGAATATCAATGATTCACAATCCATAATCCGATGATCCATCGACGACACATGTAATGCCGCGTTGCAAGCTGAACCATATAGTAAATCACGCTTATCCATCCCGTCCATAGGCTAGCCATTGACTGGCATTGGTAAGGGACATTGCACTTGCCACACAATCAGGTGACTCTGTTCACCATGCTCTTCATTGCTGACTGCAGTATTTGATCGATCCATGCTTTCCTCCGTTTCCTCTCCATCACCTGGAAGATAATTAAAATATCAATGTTATTAACGAATAGGTATACTTAAATGAAAGAAAACAGGCATAAGTCGCGTTTTCTACAAGACAATGCATGATAGATGGGAAAGCCCAACCCCCAGAGAATAAAATAAATGATATATTATCGCTTTTGAAAATATTAAATCCTTTTTCCTATACTTGTTCTTGAATTTTGATGTTTGCACATGTGTAAATATGCAAAGCAATCTGTAGAAATCTGAGATACCCCACAATCATATGTATTTAATATGCACAAAGATTATAGAAATAATGTTGTTAGTCGAACTTTGTTCTACCGTGCAACAGTGCGAAAAATTGTTCTGTTAGTGAAGGATGCACCGATTAATAGTGATTTTGTCAGGACAGAGAAATGCTCATTTAAATCGAGATACAGAAATCGGCACACTTCTTGCTTCTCTCTGGGGGCATACCTGACCATCTGCCACACAATTAGGTGTGTTGCCACATCACTCTCGTCTTCAGCTTCATCTGCTAAAATTGCAATAATTTGTTAAACTCAAATTTAAATCATAAATCTTAAATAATTTTTATATAACAAAAAATAATAAAAGTTTATTTCATTTTTCATAATACTTCGCATTTTTTCAGAGTTCATTTAGGATTTATAATTTTTAGGATTTATAAAGACAAGGATTTATAATTTTTAGGATTTATAAAGACGTACCTTGCAGTCATTACAAACATTTACTTACCTACTCTGAAATCGATGTAACCCTCACCACCAGAGAGAACAAGCATCGCAGGTTGCGTTCCGTCCGTCACCGCGCTCTGACCACCATGACCTAGAAATAATTTGATTTAAAATTATTAATATTTTAAGAAAAATCTCATTAAAAAAATAATCAACATATAGATAATATCGATCATCCTGAAACTCACCGGGTACAGCGACGAACATCTTCACAGCATCTCTGTGTCCGTGAAAACTGAGCTGCGCATGGGCCATGCTGCAATAAGGTACGAAACTTCCTGGTGTGACGCCTCGTTCTGACGCGAAGATCCTGACGCCAACTCCTGGTGCATCGCTTTTGTTGTTACCTGTCTGCGCTCTGGCTACCGCCATTGAACCACCTGCACCTGCAACACCCGAGTGTTACAGAATTAGCGAGTGTCATTAAGAGAATGTCATGCTATTTCTCCACTTACTTTCTGATAATGGTACTGAAATGATCACTCCGTTACCAGTACCAATCCACAGCCTATTTGAGGAAATCAGCAGAGCGGTGATGCGTACAAAGGAGAATCCAAGTTTTCCTGTACCGAGCATTTTACTGACGTACGGCTCTATATCAACGTCTTGGAGATGCTGATAGGTGTGAGCGTGATAGAGTCTTAACGTCGAATCGAGCCTTATGCTGACCCACACACCATCACCTAGCCACG